TGATCAGAAGAGCAGGGATACACGAGTGGCACGATCTTTAGGAAGTCCATCCAGCTTCTTGGCTTCGCCGATGACATCGACATCATGGCACGGAACTTTGAGACGATGGCGGAAACGTACATCAGACTGAAAGCTGAAGCTAGGCGGATTGGACTTGCCATCAACGCATCAAAGACAAAATACAATGTTAGTCTCCTGGACCGTGGAGGACCAATGCGCCCTTGGTGTTTACGAACGGAAGGTGTTGCGTACCATCTACGTTGGAGTGCAGATGGATGACGGAACGTGGAGGAGGCGAATGAACAACGAATTGCACCAGCTGCTGGGAGAACCATCCATCGTCCACATTGTAAAAATTTGGCGACTACGGTGAGCTGGGCACGTCGTAAGAATGCCGCACAACGACCCAGTGAAAATGGTTTTAGAAAGCGACCCAACAGGAACAAGAAGAAGAGGCGCGTAGCGGGCAAGGTGGATCAACCAAGAAGAAAGGCGACCTGCGGACCCTTCGCAGACTACGAGGCTGGCGAAGTGTGGCCATGGATCGAGTAGAGTGGAGACGACTTCTTCGGACAGCAGAAGACAACAAGGCCTTAGCCTGATTGGTAAGGTAAGTATGTATCTAAGGAATTAATCGTTATAATTGAGGACTCCACCGTAGATGGTACGCAACACCGTCAGTTTGAAAACACCAAGGGTGCGTTGATCCTCGCGTTGATCCTCCACGAGCATAGTCCAGGTCTCGAGGCCGTAGAGAACCACCGGTCTAATCAGCGTCTTGTAGATAGTCAACTTTGTGCGGCAGCGAATTTTATTCGACCTGAGCGTCCTCCGGAGTCCAAAGTAGGCACGATTCCCTGCCATAATGCATCTTTGAATTTCTCTGCTGGTATCATTTTCGGCGGTACTTGCGGACGTTGATAATGTCGAAGAAGAATTTCCCGTCGATTAGAAGGTGATCGATTTGGTTTTCTGTGTGTTGGTCAGGATGGATATCCTTGCGGGAAAAAAAGGTACTTCCGACTACCATACCCCGAGAGGCTGCAAAGTTCATGCATCGTTGTCCGTTGGCGTTCAATACGGCATACAGGCTGTTTGGCCCGATTGTCGGTTTATACATTGCCTCCCGTCCTACCTGAACGTTCATATCGTCGATGACGATTTTGACGTCCCGTTGCGAAAAACCGTCGTACACCTGCTCCAGCTGCACATAGAACGCTTCTTTCTCGTCGTGTGGGTCTCCCTTCGTGTGGGCAGTGCACGTTGATGATGCTGTAGTTGAAGAAACGGCCATTCCGAAGGAAGACTTGACCAGAGATTTTGATGTCTCAGAAAAATCCCACCGATCTCGGCTGGGACTAAACCCAGACCCATTGAGGTGAGAAAGCAGTCACGCTTACCACTACACCACCAGCGCCGGCTAAAACGAATTCTCACATGACCATAATTTGAAGAGCGAGCCCCTTTCTCATTTGAAGCTCATCGTCACTGTCAATTGGGTGGGTTGATGTGTTTGATCACTTTGCTGGCTTGGTAGGACCGTATAACCATAGAGCTAACTCTAAGACCAGAAGGTCTCGAAGAAACGTGCTCATCTTTTGGCTCAGCTCTGGTAGTCTCTTCGGTCCCAAGCTAATCGATTCACCCCTCGAAACTTAGGAAAATCCACTAACCCCTCATTTTATCTGTCAACCTTTCATAGCGAATCAAAACAAACATTGTGTTGTTCTAGAATTTCGACTAGAATGGAGTACGTTAATCGTTTGCTTGGGACCAATAGGCTAGTCAAGTAGTGAGCCAATTTAAAATCGTTAGTTTCGTATTGATTGTTGCTAATAGTATCTAACCTTAACTTTCTTTTTTTTTTCATAACACAATGAACGAGTGAGACATACGGAAATGCAATAAACGTGTCAAATTAACTGCATTGGTAACGAAAACACAGAGGAGCGTACACCTGATGTCACACTCTAAGGTGATGGTAATAAGGTCGGTGATAATATGACATTTACACAAAAGCGGAGATCAAAACAGATTGGTCAACGTACCAAAATTCGAAACTTCGATTAAAACGTGGAATCTGTGCAGCACCAGTGGAGAACACTCAAAAGCTGCAGGTCTCATCAACCGCTGCCTGCGGTATATAACTTGTGGCTGGTGGCCTCACAAATGGATCTCAAATGTCAATGTCATCAGAAGCCGATAGCAATAGAAACGAATTCTGCCGGCAAGCGTTTGATTATAAATTAAATCCGCCAGAACATCGCAGCAAAGGCAAATACTAAGGCGGTGGAGCGTCAACAAGTAAATCAAGCAAGCCGATAGGAATTTGACCTGGGCCCAGGTCAAGCAGCTGCCCAGAATGGAATTCTTTCACGTTGGCCCTGTGCACCTCTGGAGGTTCCCAGGTATTTGAGTACGACGACGATGGACGTTGCCCCTTGGAACGGAAATGAAAGCGAACATACCTGATGTTGCACAACAAGTCGGCGTGTTCTTTTTATTTCTTTTCAGCAAAACAACAAAATCCTCTATCTCTCTTCTTTATTCTTTTAATCTCTTACTATCCCCTAATCGGACGCTAGTGGGACCAAAAAGCCTGCTAGTGAAAGGAAAGTCGTTATGCTATACGGTCTAGCATAGGCCACGACTAAATTTCCGTAGGTTCATGCCTGGCTTAAGTGCAGATCGGTAGGCAGCAGCCAGTCAGGGTGTGAACTGAGCTATAACAATAACAATAACAAATTATGAGCACTTCCATTGTCACACTTGTATAGTTTTTGTATAGTTGTTGTACAGTGCTCATAATTTTTATACAAATAATGCTCATGCTCATAGTTTGTCATCCAAATGTATCCGCGGCATTACCATATTTAATCCATCGTTAGTGCAGAAGTAGCTGAGTACACCATCTTCACTGCCACGACACCATGATTCTAATACCACAGAATGTTAAAATCCAAAGTCTGAAGAAATGTTTTGCATAGCAACGCTTGGTGAAACGATCATAGTATCCAGATACAGTGGGGGAAATTCGTTTAAACGCAATGTCATTTTTGCGTTTATTTTCAACACAAAAGATCGAGACAAAAAATCAAATATAGTTTGTCATAGCCCATGAGAAGTCTCGTATTTGAGAACACAATTTGATTGGAAGTTCATAATGACTTTTGAAAAAATCCCAAAAAAGGTGATTTTGGGGGGGGAAATTCGTTTAAACGCACACTAACGTAAAGCCGCATTGAGCGTACCTATGCTCCTGTTATCTTGCGCATCTGTCATATTTACACTGTATAGCCCTCGTTCGCCATTAACACGAGTTTAAATTTGCGTTGCGCGGTAGTTGTTGCTTGTTTTCGGCAAAATGGGTAAAGGAAAGTATTTAAGCCAGTCGGAGCAAATACTGGTTCGAGAACTCAAAAGTCGCGGTGAGAGCAATCGCAAAATTGCACGTGTGATCCACAGATCGGAAGCAGCAATCAGGAACCTGCTGAAAAAAGGCAAGACGTATGGCGTAAAAAAGAAAACAAAGGGAAATTCGAAGATCACCAACCGTGTCCGAAACCAAATCATACAAATGGGAGACTCTGGAAACTTCTCTGCTGCGCAAATCAAGCAAGAAATGGGGCTTTCCATTTCTAAGAGGCGTGTACGGCAGATTCTACATGGAAGTGGCCACTTAAAGTACACCAAAAAAGCAAAAAAACCCAATCTTCAACCGGCCCACATTAGCGCCAGATTGAATTTCGCTAAAAAATACATGTCTTGGACTACGGAATGGGACAATGTTATTTTTTTCTGACGAGAAGAAATTCAATTTGGACGGCCCAGACTGCACCGCATATTATTGGCACGATTTGAGGAAATCTCCGCAGGTTAAGTTGAGCAGGAACTTTGGAGGTGGTACTCTAATGTGTTGGGCCGCTTTTTCGATCCATGGAAAGACCCCTATTGCCACCATTTCAACCAGGATGAATTCGGGAAAGTACTTGGAGCTTCTGGAAGATGTTTTGATCCCGTTTACTGAAGACGTTATGCCGGAAAATTTCGTATTTCAACAGGATAATGCAGCAATTCATGTCAGCAAGCAATCTTTGAAATGGTTTTCTGAACGAGACATCAGTCTTTTGGATTGGCCAGCTCGTAGTCCGGATCTAAATCCTATCGAGAACTTGTGGGGCATCCTGGCACGACAGGTTTACAAAGGCGGAAGGCAGTTTAAAACAGTTCGTGAACTTGAGTCAGCCGTAAGAGAAGCCTGGAGCTTGATACCTGATACAACTCTGCAGAAGCTGGTGAAATCAATGCCGAACAGAATTTTCGAAACTATTCAGAAAAACGGAAAGCAAACGAAGTATTAACTATTGTTTATTGTTGATTTTTGAACTGTGAACTCGATTTGATTAATAAAACTAAAAGTGCGTTTAAACGAATTTCCCCCCCAAAATCACCTTTTTTGGGATTTTGTTCAAAAGTCATTATGAACTTCCAATCAAATTGTGTTCTCAAATACGAGACTTCTGATGGGCTATGACAAACTATATTTGATTTTTTGTCTCGATCTTTTGTGTTGAAAATAAACGCAAAAATGACATTGCGTTTAAACGAATTTCCCCCACTGTAGTGTACATAGTATCCGGAAATCGTAGGTTACTTCGATCTCCTATAATAAAATTGGACTGTGTGAAAAAGCTTACCGAATGACGCAATTTTTTTAAGATGTGCAGCGAAGCTTCTGAAATCGTGAATGCTGATGTTGATCGTCGTTGATCTAATATTCAAGGTTAATTTTGGACTTTGCTAGCGGAATAAGGTAAAAGTTTGAGTACTTGTAGTAAAATACAAGGCTCTTACAAAAATGCCGATTAATTGCTAAACAACAAAAATTACGCTTTGAAATATTGTAAATTCAGTTGCCACCCTGAACATTGTCTTATTTTCTAACATTCTGTGCTACGAACTAACAAATTGTAGTTGCTTTTTTTTCATTATTTTTACAGATTCCAATTACCCTGCACAAAGAAAAAGATGTGGACGAAGAAGGCCGTGAAGTGCTAAAATGTGGTTTCAAAATAGGTGGTGGTATAGATCAGGATTTTAAAAAAAGCCCACAAGGATACACAGATTATGTAAGTATTTTCTCAAAAGCTGCACTGAGGTGAGCAGTTTGTTAATATGCGTTTGTTCCAACTCTTTCCAGGGTATCTATGTAACGGAAGTTCACGAAGGTAGTCCCGCTGCAAAGTCTGGTCTTCGAATGCACGATAAAATTTTGCAGTGCAATGGTTATGATTTTACAATGGTTACACACAAAAAGGCTGTCAGTTACATTAGGAAAAATCCAGTGCTTAATCTGCTGGTGGCTCGAAAGGGAGTTACCTCCACATAAGCTGCTGACTATAAAATAACACTAGCCGAATTAAAGGTTCAGTGTTTTTGTTATCACAGGTATTATTACTATTAGATCATATATAGGTTTTAAAAAGCTCAACTGCCGGAGATCGTGCTAGTGTATTTTTATAACTAAAATGTGCATGTGCAAGCTTTTATATCGTGATCGCATATTTGTGTGCACAACATATTATTTGCTCATGACGACTATCCAGCATAGATGAGCAGTTAGAGAAAGCTATCTGATGTATGCTGCCAAATACCATCCAACAGACGTTTTATAGCATACCTTAAGTTGATGCATCCTAACGAAAACTGAAAGTTTCTACGTTTTCGGAAATGAAAGGTCCATCTGCATTTTTGTCAATACACGTGTGGTTTAGGTCAGAGTAAAATTAAATGTATTTTGTTTTTCCAAATTCATCGAGCATCGGTTAGCATACATAAGACATTTGTTCTACATATTTACACATGCGAGACATTCGTAGTAGATGTGAAGTAATTGTTTACCTAATTTTATATAGCCTTATCCTCAACTGGGAATGAATGCATGCCAAAGTAAACAGTACTGTCTTTTAACTGATGGAAAATATGAGAAATCCTTGGTAGGATTAGGTAGCAATGAATTCACTTACAAGCTGATGGCTCCAAATAGGTTTTGAAAGTTTTAACTTACTGAAACATTGAATGGCCTCTACAGCTACAAGGGATACCCAAAATAACTAGGATATGCAAATTTTTGGTCAACTTTGGAGTGTTGTAACGTCGTCAAATATGGTCCGATTTCAATTCTTCCAAAAGCATTCGACTAGAAAACTAATATAGCTTTATGGTGTAGCCACGAAAATTATCATTGTCACCGGATACTGGAGATAATCCAGGTTTCCGGAGGGCTTGCCTAATTTACTAAATTTGTGATGTAATTTTCTTTAGGATGCCGGTTAAAAATCGATATTTTTAGTAAATTCACTGAAAGAAGAACCATTTTCAAAGCGAATGATATGACTAAATCGGCCTATAATCAACCGAGATATGGCCATTTTCCTGGAATCGATGGAGGATTCTGAAGGCGATCAGATCTTTTAATCACTCAAAACTATCCACAGCTATTTTGAGGAATGCCCAATTCTGACAATCGATTTGCACGTCAGAACTGCTTCGGTCCTCCATCAGGGTTCACCATCTTTCGGGTCACATCCTGCACACTCACGGAGGGCCTCACAATATGCCTGGTACAACACCCGGGGATGGAGGCACGCTACAGAGAGCCGCGCCAGTAATCGCGCGCAACTCAAGTTATGTTTTTTTTGCGCCTTTGGTGTTCCGGAGGAAGACCACCTCCTCAAGGTGGTTTGTTTAAAAGGACGTTAATAAATGGAAGCATGGAAGCTCCCATTTAGTGGATCACGACTTCATGAAAACATCTTCTACCATCAGCGCCGTTCTACGGGCCTATCACCCTCTCTGGGAGTTAAAGCCACATTCTAGTTGAACTTGAACTGGTAACCGCTGGTTACGGCAGATGACGAAATCTCCAGTATATGGAACCAGGTATATGCGCAAGTGCATCACCTCTGCGTGCTGAACTCTTCCCGTTTCGCTCGCAGCTACTCAGGGAATCCTTGTTAGTTTCTTTTCCTCCCCTTAGTAATATGCTTAAATTTAGGGGGTAGTCACACATTATTTGCGGCCTACTGGTTGGTTGGTTGGTTGGTGTGTGATGGAATACAACATAGCCTACAGTGTGTGTGGCCTATGGGATGTATTCATCAACCACGTCCGGCCGGGGGGGAGGCCGTGCCTGACTATCTTCTGCCTGTTGTGGGCCGTGCGCCTGTCCACCTGAAGTGAAACGCGTACGCACGTATAGTTGAATTGATAAATATAGGCACTCAAACATGTGTACATCGTACTGTTGTACGATGTGCAATATGCGTTCAACTTGTCGGTGTTCATGTGTCCTGCAGTTCACATTCTGACGCGCATTTAGCTGTGGTCTTCATCGATCCACGAGCCGAGTGATCCTCTGCCTAGGTTTGGGGTTAGGTATATCCCATGTGCTGTAGTGCTGTACTGCACATGGGTCGGGTTGGCAAATCATCGCGGACTGGCACTGCACACCACTGGTGCACGGTACGGTGCACGTTCGTACACGGGTCGAGCGAACGACACCATACGAGTAACACCGGCGCACCTCTTCGTCGCGTGGTCACAGAGTCCTCAGAAAACACACACACACACACACACACAGGGTAACGTGCTCGCGCGGTTGAACTGGGTCAGCATCGCGACCCACCAGACACACGTTCGATCTAGACACAGAAAGAAAACCTCTTGATGGGTGAGAATCATATAGTAATGATCCTTCCGCAGGTTCACCTACGGAAACCTTGTTACGACTTTTACTTCCTCTAAATCATCAAGTTCGGTCAACTTCAGCGAGTCAAATGTATTCCCGAGGGACTAGCAAATGTTCACCTTCAAAGACCTCACTAAATAATCCATCGGTAGTAGTGACGGGCGGTGTGTACAAAGGGCAGGGACGTAATCAACGCTAGCTAATGACCAGCACTTACTGAGAATTCCAGGTTCATATGGACCATTTCAATCCATAATCCCATAAATGAGCATTTCAGCAACAATCAATACGAAGTTAACGGTTTTAAATTGGCTCACTACTTGACTAGCCTATTGGTCCCAAGCAAATCGATTAACGTACCCCATTCTAGTCAAAATTCTAGCACTACACAATGTTTGTTTTGATTCGCTATGAAGGTTTGACAGATAAAATGAGGGGTTAGTGGATTTTCCTATGTTTCGAGGGGTGAATCGATTAGCTTGGAACCGAAGATAGTACCAGAGCTGAGCCAAAAAGTTGAGCACGTTTCTTCGGGACCTATACTAGTCTTAGAGTTACCTCTATGATTTCAGGCTAGGCATGAACATTTATTTGACTTTTAACTCCTAGAGTTATTTCGTCAAGGGTGTCTCCGTTAGGGCAGTGGATGAGCATTTCGGTGATTTCCCGGCCCTCTCGGGCTAGGATACACGCTGCTGCTCACATTGTAGTGCGCGTGCAGCCCAGAACATCTAAGGGCATCACGGATTGTCCTATTAAGCAGAAGTCAACCTCGATGAGTTGACGTATTATCAGGTCACACTACACCGCCGGCGGGCGCGAACGGCCCATAAATCGCTTACTAACTCATAGGGTAAAAAGTCCAATTTCCGACATGCTCCGTCCAATATTTAAACGTCATCGTTTAGGAATATGTCTCAGCTACATTTGCTTGATATAAACCATCATCGGCTAAATTGATGGTTACGTCATTGATCATAAATCCCTCACTAACTCATAGGGTAAGAAGTTCAATTTTCGAAATTCTCCGCCCAATATTTCAACGTCATCGTTTAGGAATATGTATCCGCTAACTTTGCTGCATATAAACCATCATTACATCGGCTACATTGATGATCACGTCATTGTGCATAAATCCCTCCTGAACTCAGGGCAAAAGTCCAATTTTGGGCATGCTCAGTCCAAATTGCAACTTCATCGTTTAGGAATATGTCTCAGCTGAATTTGCTGCATACAAACCATCGTCGAATTCATTCAAGTTCCCGGCAAGGTAACAGATAACCTTAGTTTCACGTACCCACTTGCAAATAGTAGAAGTCGCCACACAACGTAAACAAAGGGATTGTCCTTCACCATCGCAACGGTATTTCTCTATAAGACACCAACTTTTTGTTTCACTTTGTGTGGATGTCAAACAACTAGCAAGAATGCCATATGAATAAGAGCGAATTTATGATTTTAGAGGTGAAATGAAATAAATCCAAGCAAATTGAAACATATTGATGGAGGTCTTCCTTATATAATCAAATGGAAATAAAAATACTTTGCTACTCAAAGACATACGTGGCTACACAAAAAAAGATTCATAAACTGATGATGTATATGCAATAAGTTTAACTTTAATATTACATTTTATTTACTGTACATCATTTCCGCATTCGCCCTATTCAGAGAACATTACTTCTGAACTTTATGAGTTTGACAGAACCACCAGCACCAAATTTTCGGGGTACACTGGAAATGTACTGGACTTGTCAAGTTGCCCCCAGGTTGAATTCATTTGACATCATCGGCTAAATTGATGATTACGTCATTGAACATAAATCGCTCACTAACTCATAGGGTAAAAAATTCAATTTTCGATATGCTCCGTCCAATATTTTAACTTTATCGTTTAGGAAATTCCACAGCTATATTTGCTGCATTCCTTGTTCTGTGTATGTGGCTGAACTGGCAGCAATTCACTACACTTTGGAAACTATTGCTTCACTTCTTCCAGACCACTACTTTATTTTTACGGATAGTCTCAGTTCTGTCGAGGCTATCCGTTCCATTAGGCCGGTAAGGCACTTCTCGTATTTTCTCTTGAAAATACGAGAACTGCTTAGTGCTTTATCCGTGCGCTCTTTCATCATCACCTTCGTGTGGGTCCCTTCGCATTGCTCAATTTTGGGCAATGAGAAGGCGGATTCACTTGCGAAGGTGGGCGCTATGGAAGGCGACATTTATGATCGACAGATCGCCTATAGTGAATTTTTCTCTATTTATCGTCAGCAGTCGCTCGTTAGCTGGCAACATCAATGGAGTGAAGGGAGCTTGGGACGATGGCTACATTCAATTATCCCTAAGGTGTCGAAGTTTGCATGGTTCAAAGGGTTGGACTTGAGTCGAGACTTCATACGCGTGATCAAGCATGGGAAAAATCATTCAATTTTGCATTCTCAACTCACTCACACGCATATAACATCAGAAACGAACAGCAGCTTGTGCGAGCCGCACTGATTTTGTTCGTATTCGCACTGCTTCTATTTTCATCGATGAATGCAGAATTAAGCAAAACAGACAGCTGAGCGTAACATGAATGATTCTGAGTGTAGTAGTGTGGATGATTCCTCTCTTATTATTTTTTCCATGCTGAGCCTTTTACGATTGCATTCTGCTGAGTGAGCTGAATGAGAATTTTGCAGAAAGAATCACTTTTTATTTTCTAGCTTTAAACATACATTGACACATTTAAATCGCTTTTAATTTCGAGAAAACTGTTATACTGTAACACATAAACATAAACGTCACGCAAATAACTTAAAACTGCTGTGGCCAATTCAACTGATTTAAATCAGTGAGCCAAAAACTATCTGACTCGGCTATTTAAATCGTTAGCATTCAGATCTAACGCATTCAATCTGGTTCTCCCTCGCTAGAGAAAATTGTTCGGCTGCCTTTCAGATTATCCTTCTTCCCTTCTACTGCTGTCAGTTCTGATTCGAGCTGCAGAGTCACTTGGTAGGAAAAATTTACACTCGTTCGGCAATCTGTTTGTAGGCGAGGATGGCTATTTTGATTCTGTGGTGCTCGCGCGAGTGAATGAATTTTCCCATGCTTGCGCGTGATGTCTCGTCTCATGTCCAATCACTATTGTCTAAACGCTCACTTGTTCCGTGTGGGGTTGGGAGACAGCAATCTCTGTGAATGTGGACAAGGTTA